ATGCAAGAGCAGGCACTGGCAGGGAACAGCCTGGGGCACTCGATGTGCCAGGGCAGGCAGTGGGATGCCCCAGGATGGATGGGGTGGGAAGGCTCCTGCCAGTCCTACTCAGCTCCATCCGTCCTGAGGTCCCATCAGGGGGAGCTGTGCTGGGAAGAGGGTCTGTCCCCACTGTTGGCCCTTTTGCCCCCTGTCTCAGGGTGCCCCATGTGGGCATCAGTCACTGGGAGAGCTTTAAGTGGGTCAAAATGATACTTGACAAGTGTCCCTTGCCCCCAGGGGACCTGCATGGCACTGGAAAGCTGCACCACCTCCCTTTTGGGCAGTGTGGTGTCACAACAGCAGCCCCAGCACCTCTCTTTGGGCCCTGCTGCCATGGCACAGCCTGGTGCTCAGCAGGAGGTGGCAAAGGAGGTGCCCATCCAAACCAACATGTGTCTGTGAGCAGCCAGGTTGTCCTTTGTTTTTTCTCCTGGGGAAAAGGCCCTTGTTTTGCTCCAAGGTGCTGCCTGGGAATGGGACAGGTCTTCCTGCCAGGCACTCCATGGAAGGAGAGCATCCCTTCCTGCTCTGCCTTGCCCTGTGCCTCCACACCGGGGGGGTAGGAGGGTCCCAAGCCCCTCCAGGGGCAGAGATGGGATCGCAGGGTGTTTCCCCAGGCCGGGCAGGTCCCTGCGGGGCGCTCACAGACCGGTGGGTGGGAGTTTTGTCCCGGAGGTGGCATTTCCCGGGATGCCCGCAGCCTGGAGCAGAGCACTGGGGGGCAGAGCGGGGCTGAGCGCGGGGCTCCCGCGGGGTCCCGAGGCTGCCACGGTGCCCGGTGGCCGAGCCTGTCAGTCAGCGGGTGTAACCACCCCCCGAATGAGGAAGCACCCAGTGTCCGCGGTGGGGGCGGGAGCGCGGGGCCCGGTGGATGGAGAAGCCCTGATGGCAGAGGCGAGGGGGCAGGCCGGGCCCTCGCCCCGCGGGCAGCGGGATCCAGGTAGGACCGGGCTGGCCCGGGGGCTGGGCTGGCTCCCCGCGGGTACCACCAGGGCTCCCCTGGGGACAGGGCTGCACGGGCCTTGCTTTGGGAATGGGCTCTGTTGCTCCCAACCCCCTTGGAGAGCAGCCCCGGGTTTGAGCGGGATGGCAGAGGTGTGGGTGCCGCCCACGCGGGCTCTGCTCCCTCGTGGCACCTGCCCCGGCCGTGCTGGGCAGCCAGGGAGCAGGTCAGGGTGATGTGGCTGTGGAGAAGAGCATGGGCATGAGCTGTGGGGTGGGGAGGGGGCAGGGCAAAGGTGGGACAGAGTGTCCAGGGGCTGGCGCGCTCGGCAGCACCCC